TTTTCTCCCTGTAAAGTCTTGTATCAATCAGCCTGTACCTCTAGTATTATTGTCCGCAACGTGGTTCACAAAGGGAAAAGCCCCAAATCTAAGCCGCTCGCCCCTCGAGGGCTTGAAATAGCGCCGCTTAGGGGCTAACCGACGATATATTCAGTGTGGGAGGCTTGGGTTCCCAGCCGACCCACCAAGTTCGCCCAGAGCCGCCGATTTCGGCCCAAATTTGGCGCAAATTCAGCCCAAATTCGACACAATTCGGCACAAACTCAACAAAAAGTATTTTTTATCACATAGTTCATCACAGAAATGAATACAAATCAAATAGTTTAACCAAGCAAACTCATAATTCAAACACAAATTAAAAACACATCGAACTAGGCGTTGCCCTTGAGCCTCCATACATGCTTCACTGGATGGTGCTGCAGTTCTTGATGCACCTGTGAGTCTCGGATCTCCTGACACATATTGAGAAAGGCAACCCATGATGCCTGTACCTGGTGATCAACAGTTGCAAGAGGAGCCTGCCTGAAATATGGTTCAGTGTCAAACAATGGCCCTTCCTGCTCGCTCTCAATGATCATGTTGTGCAAGATGACACAACAGTTCATCACCTCCCACATTTGAGATTTCGACCAGGTCAGAGCGGGGTACCAGACAACAGTAGATCAAGGTTGAAGCACACCAAATGCCCGCTCGACATCCTTCCTGCAAGCCTCCTGACACTTGGCAAAGTAGGAGTTCTTGCCTCCCGACACAGGGTTTGAGACAGTCTTCACAAATGTGGACCATCTCGGATAGATGCCATCTGCTAGGTAGTATCCCTTGTTGTAGTGGCGCCCGTTGACCTCGAAATTCACCGGAGGAGCATGACCTTCAACAAGCTTGGCAAAGACTTTCGAGCACTACAGTACGTTGATGTCATTGTGAGTTCCTGGCATACCAAAGAAGGAGTGCCAAATCCAGAGGTCATGTGTGGCCACTGCCTCAAGTACCACACTGCAAGCTCCTTTGGCACCTTTGTACATCCTCTACCAAGCAAATGGACCATTTTTCCATGCCCAATGCATGCAGTCGATGCTTCCAAGTATCACATGAAATCCTCTTGCTGCATTTTGTGCTAGGATCCAAGCAGTGTCTTCAGCAATGGGTGACCGCAAGTATTGTGGTCCAAACACTGCCACCATTGCCCTGCTGAACTTGTACAAACACTCAATGGTGGTGGACTCGCCCATGCGTCCATAGTCTTCATGTATATCACCGGGAGCTCCGTATGCAAGCATCCTCATAGCTGTCGTGCACTTCTGGAGTGAGGAGAATCCAACTGTGCCGGTGCAATCCTTTTTGCAAATGAAATAGCTGTCGAACTCCTGGATGACATTCACAATCCCGAGGAAGAGCTTTAGGTTCATCCGATAACGACACTGAAACACTTTCTCGCCATGCAATGAAGCATCGGCGAAGTAGTCGGCGTAGAGCAAGCAATAGCCCTCCATTCGATGCCTCTGCTTTCTCTTGTGGTGACCCGACGCCGAGCCACCTCGCCGCGGCTTTGCATTGTTGGCGAACAGGCCAGCCAGAGAGGCGAGGATCATGAGGTGCTCTTCATCGTCGGTGTCAGCCTCGACTTCCTCCTTCATTAGAGCCGCGAACGCCTCCTTGTCGTTGGAGTTCGTTGCGGAACACCTTGCGGGCCTGGTGTCAAGATGGCAACGGGGATGAAACCCATCGGGTTTTGCCTTCCCAAACCCATCCCCACGAGAAAATCATAAACCCGTCCCCGTCCGCATCACCGTGCACGGGGCTAGTTTTTCACCCGTCCCCTAAACCCATCGGGTTTTGGGGAACCCACGGGGAACCCACGAGAAAATCAAAATATTTAAACAAACATAGTGGCAACAAAGAATAACATTTCAGCAGCAAAACAAGCACATTTTAGCAGCATAGCTTGAGCAAATTTCAATAAAACAATGGTAGATGGTTCAACAACCATATAGAGTGTATTTCAGCAGCATGATACCACATTTTAGCAACAAAGATGATCATGTTTCAGCAACAAAGATGATCAGATTTGCAGCCATACAATGTTCAACAAGATCTGCAATTACACAAGTTCTAAAATAAAATTCTTGGTTCACAAATCACGAGCACAAATGAGACAAAATGGTCGAATACATAAGTTCTGAAATAGAATTTATAGTTCACAAATCACTTTAAAGCTGGATTCATCATGGCATCTTTCACATCTCCAAACCTCCAAAAGACCAGCTTCAAATCTTCCAATGCCAAATCAAAGTGCCAAGTCCTAGGGAAGATCGAAATTCGCTCAAGATAAAGTTAAACATGAAAAAAATTATGCAGATTGGTATATGAAATTTGCAAGTACTTGTACTTCACCTGCATTCCCTCTTGAATGTCTTGAAGACAACCCCAAAAGCTTTGTCCAACTTCATTGTCAGCATCTATAAGAATGAAATAAGTAGTAATGAACATCGAACGAAACATTGCAGCAAGATAAGATAAACTATATGATGACATGTAAAGAAAGACACACCTTTATATTTGTTTCTTATCCAATCTTGTGAACACATCAAGGCCTTTAAGATTTCAGGGGTAAGACGACTACGGTGGTTACTTAGAACTCCACCACTTGTGCTGAATGCTGATTCTGAGGCAATCGTGCTGACTGGAGTTGCAAAAACATCACGTGCTAGCAGCCTCAATGTTGGATAGCGTGTTCCAGAAACTTTCCACCAATCTAAAACACTGAATTTATCTTTGGACAATGGAACTAGCTCATCTTCCAAGTAACGGTCTAGTTCAGATTTCATCCTAAAAGATGTTGGCCTCTTTTGAGCAACACGTGCATTGAAGAGTGACATAAGGGCTGGAGCTTCCAAAGAAGAGAATGAGGAAGATGGTTGTCCATGATCATCATCACTCTCAAGATTGTACTCCTCCAACAATGTGCATATCTTGGCAATTCTTCCATTAACATGATCCTCACGTTCTGGACTACAAGGACTAATACCATGCAACATAGAAAAGAAAACAAGCAACATTTCATTTTTGTACCGAGGATCAAGAAGCGTAGCCATTCCCATTAGACCTTGAATATCAGTCCAATACTTTTTAAATTTCTCTTCCATGCTAAATGCCATGGCTGCTATCATCTCATTACCGCAAGTTGACCATTGCCTCATATTCATTTTAATTTCACAAATCTTGGGAAAATAGATGTTGGCAGTTACATAATCTGTCTCGGAAAACATTTCAGTGATTTCAAAGAACAACCACAACCTTTCTACAACATCAATAGCAAATGCCCATTCTTCCTTAGTAGGGAGACTGTCGTATTGCTTCTCAACCTTCTTTAATCGCTCAAAAACAACCTTATATGGTAGAGCCACACTAAGCATTGTGAAAGTTGAATTCCACCTAGTCTTACAATCAAGTATTAATCTTCTTGTTATTTTGACCTTTTGAAACTTAGCAATTTCCTCAAACTTCTCTATTCGTTTTGGTGAGGCAATCCAAAAAGCTACACTATCTCTAATCTTTTCTATTGCTGGTTTCATAGCATATAAGCCATCTTTGACAATTAAATTCAAAATGTGGGCACAGCAACGCATGTGAGTCAAGGTACCTTGCAACATGAGCTTGTCCTTCCCTATCCTCTTCACCAACAAGTCAATTGTCTTGTCATTTGAAGAACAATTGTCAACGGTCACCATTGATAGCTTCTCATCAAGATTCCAAGCTATCAATGATTCATGAAGATTATCAGCTATAACTTCGGCGGTACGAGGAGATGGCACATAAATAAACCTACAAATACAATGAATATATGTTATACAATAGCAAATAGCGTACTACAACAGCTAATAGTGATAAATAAATATCAAACAATGTGCTACAACAACTAATAATGATAAGAACAACATCAGACGATGTACTACAGCAGCTAATAGTGATAAAAACAACTTCAAACAATGTAATATAGCAGCACCTATCGATACAAATATCATCATATATTCATATACCTCATGATAACACTCCTAAGCTTCCATCAGTCGTCAATGAAATGGCCCGTGATTGCCATGTATCCTTTCTTTTGATTGTCAGCCGTCCATAAATCAGTAGTGATAGCCACTCTTGATCGATTTGCAGCCATGTACTCGATAGCCTTCTTCCTTTCAACTTTGTAAGCATCCAAAATATCTTTCCTATGAATGAAGAGATGCCAATTAGACCTTGACAATATTAAACAAAATATGGTATATTAGTTCAACAATTCATAGTAACATAAGACATACCTAATAGTGTTTCTTGTCACCATTTGAAATAAGGGTTGCACTGCACTAACAAATCTTCAAAAGCCCGTATGATCAACTATGGATAAGGGGTACTCATGC